ATCTCTCTCTCTCTCTCTCTCTCTCTCTCTCTCTCTCTCTCTCTCTCTCTCTCTCTCTCTCTCTCTCTCAGTTGTCGGCGAGACACTGGGCAGTGTAAACACTATCTAACAAGTTACAACAGGTCGAGAATTCAGGAAGAAGGACCAGCGCCAGTAGCGAAACTGTTAGGCTCTTATCAGTTGCACGAAGGAGATGAGAGTTCGATTCCCTTGTGGAGAATTCATTATTGTCGAGTATTTGTGTCTCTCTGGTGGGATGTTGTATCCCGCTCAGTCCGAAATGGTCCTGTCAGGCAAAGTCGAAGCAGCCCGCCTCCTAAATGATCTAACTGTGTCAGTGGGGGTGGGGGAGCATTGCCTGATTTAGATAGTTGTTGCAGTGTTTGAGTTTGGTTTTTGAAACTTTTTTCCTTTCGAACTTTGGCTTTAATTTTTGTATAATTATGATAATGCGAATTTGATGGCTTTCTTTTTGTCCCTTTCATTCTGTTTTTTAATTGACAGTATGCTTCAGTTATTAGCAAAATATATACATGTATAATGAAGGATTAGATATACTGATACATTTTGTACCTTGTACTTTTTGTTTGACAAATATAATAATATATTATGTAAACCTGTCGTGCGGTCAAAAATTCGAGACGCATCTTATCCCCATATCTCTTTAACGGGTGAGTCAATGTCCCCAATACTTTGCATAACAGTTGGCATCAGTTTGTCTCAATTACTCAAAAAAAATTTTCTCAACAATTAAGGGTACCTTTAAAAAAACTTTTCTTCATGAATAAAACACTACAAATCTCTGTCAAGCGGAAAATGGGAGTTCACAACCCTTCCCGCTTCTCACACACATTTCGCATACGAAATAAAACTCTTTAGAGACAAAAATTGTTACAAAAAAATTAATTTCATGGCCAACACATTTCTTGCTCTAAAGGTTTTCAAAACATAGTTTCAATAAGCACGTGTCGCGATTGGAAGAAAGGACGGACTTGCTTTTTAAAAGCGTTATTATTGTCCCAGCTCATGGGAATCCAACCTTTTTAGATCTGTAGAAACGACCCACTTGGATTTTTAATTAGTATTTATTACAGGATTTTCTTTAAATGCAGCTAACAGGTGTTTACAAAAACATTGATATGTTAAGACAAATGGGTACAAGTCATTGTGCAAAAGCTGCAGAATTTATAATATTTGAAAGTGGAGGAAATATTTGATAAAAAGTTGTCTAGCGTACCGGGTAGATGTATTTTTGACCGCACGAGAAGTATGTATTTCCGGGCATAACTAGGAAGGAAATTGGTGGGTTTTCCTGTCACAAGGATGCATCAAAAACCTATTTTCTGTTCTTGATTTTGTTGTTGCTAGTGTAAGTTATCATGGGCGACAATGTAGAGCAAGGAAAATGTTTGTAACTGAAAAGAGGTGGGCAGAAGGGGGTGTCGGTTTGTTGGGTTTTGTTGTTGTTGTTTTTTGTGGGTTGGTTTTTTTGGGGGGTGGGGGGTTGTTGAGGGGGTTGGGAGTT